GAAATGTAGACTTTTTAACATTTGACCTTAAAGTGTGAGCAACCCAATTATTGCGCACTGCACGTCGTGTCGTAATGGTGATCCATTTTGTCAAGTTATCTCAAACTTTTTCAGCGTTAAAAAAGTTTAGGAGCGGACACGAAATGTAGACTTTTTATTGTTAAATGAAGACTTTTAACATTTGACCTTAAAGTGTGACCTTGACCTTGGGGGTAGCAACCCAATTATTGCGCTCATTATGATGATCACTTGTGCCAAGTTATTTCAAAAAAAAATCAGCGGTTAAAAAGTTATGGAGCGGACACGAAAGTGTTACGGACAGACGGACTGACAGACGGAGGCCATTCCTAAAATCCCCTTTCCGCTACGCGGAAGGTGATTTACATGTTTAGTCCCATTTGAAAAAGCCATACATACAAAAGCTCATATAAAAGCTTTATTTATTTCTGGGAATATTTAAAAACATTACGCATTGTCGGTTCTATTTTTAACTTCTGTGACTAAGATATACAATAATCCTGAACCGTTTTAAAAACTTTAGTAGAGATTTGTGCAAAAAACAACAACGAAACAAAATTTCTGTCAAATTTTATCAAATATAGCCTATTTTTACGTCACATCAACACTTAAAAAGGCTTTGTGGCGACTTTTCTGCTGTATTTAGGAAGACCTTAATATGTTTCGCTCCGTGCATTATTTCATAATATTGACACCTTCTGGTCATCTAATTAGAATTACCAAGTCTATACGAAGGTGAAATTTGGCTTATTCAAATAAAGAAAACATTAAAATTGTTTGTAAAATAAAGAAATCAAAGTCATATGTTCATCCTGATTCCAAATTCAAATACGCCCTGAACTTAATCTTAATTTGGAACACACTAGTGTTCATGTGCATTACATGCTACCGAACAATTTGAGAAATGCTGTTTTTCCTCATCTCCAATTACATTGAAACTATGGTTTTAAGACTTATAATAACTTATTCAAAACAGAAAGCTTATATGAATTTTGGATACGTTCAGCCGCGGGTTATTCCACATGATTTATTGATATTTATTGATGATGAGAAAATAACGATTATTATTATTATTATTATTATTATCATTATTATTATTACACCAAATTTATTAATATATAACATGTTCAAATGCGTTAAAATCAACAAATTTATATCATAGTTATAAACATTAAGAAAGAATACTCGACATAAAATGAAATTTCAACAATTATACAAATCAAGATATGACTATGTAAAACTATTTGCATATAAACATACTATTAAATTCTTTTCAACATGATTTATAATAATATTATGAACCAGACCGCCATCTACTTGACTAGTCACATATTTCTAAAGAACGAAATGAGGCTGCGGTAACAAAACTCATATTGTTTTCATATCGGAATTACTTATATTGTACAATTAATTCGAGACTTTTAAGTTTTTGTTTTGTGTACATTCTTCTGTAGCTTGATCTTAATGTATACTGGAGTTTGTCCCTACTGTATCCGATTTCCAGTAGGTAAAACAATGGAGATTCTATACAACGTTTTAATGTGTTTAAATGGAGGGGTTGTTTTTGGTAATAAGACAAGCTGCCATTTGATGAACAGTCCGGAGGTTGTTGAAAGCATTAGGTGGTCTGACCTGTAGGTCACAAAATGATTAATAAAAAAAAATTGAGGCAACGGTGGAATATGGCCTATTTGTTTTGCGTAGCAGGACATCTATACAGGATTTATAATTTATGTTGCTCTATTTTTTTTAGAATAGAAGAAAGTGTCAATTTCTAACACAAACTGGTGATTTTATCCATGTCTCTCCAACTGTTAAAATATTTATGGGCTTGTATTGCATTGAGAAGACGTTCTTCATCACAACATATTTAAATATTGTCTCTTCCTTCTTATCACTTTTGATCTGTGGGATTAAACGCCAGATAATCTAAGGCGTCAACATGAAATGGGTAGAAAGGCCATGTTTTCTACTAATCTAATGGTCGTTGGAGTGTAAAATGAATTTGTAAATATATTTTGTATATTTTTTGCTTTATTTGTTATTATTATTATTATTCTTTAATGACCAATAAATGAAGAATGTTGAAAAGCTTTTTTCTCAAATCGGGCCAAACATCAAGCATAAATATGTTTTTTCAATATAACTCTGAGTAGATTTCATTATCATCTTTTGCCTCCAAAACTTTAAGCATTTTATTGTTACAGTAACGGTTCAGCAAAATATTACCGATGTTTTTTTATTCAAATTTGTGTTTTTTCATGGAAAGTAAATGTAGTGAAATTTGAAATGATTTTTTTATGTTTCAAATGTATCCAACTCTGAATTCTGTAATGCATAATCATGACATTAACTTCTACAACATGCTTGAATTGATAAAACTGAAAGCCTCATACGTTTCCGGGTCTCTTTCATTTTACCACTTTGTTGCCATGGCAACAGAACCAATTAATGTTGTTGGTAGAATGCAAATCTACCTTTAAAAAATTAAAGACTTAAAAACATTTCAAAATGTAATCTTGTAGGTTATTCTTAGTCTTAATAATCATTATATATCAGTTCACTAGAAATTGGGACACAATTTTCGTGTACCCCACCCACTTTTGGAATGTCAGAATTCACATTCTTACACAATAAAAATAAAAATAAGGTTACATCTAGTAAGATGTTGATCAGGTCTTTGTAATATATGGTAAAAATATTCATTTTCACCACTATGCCTCGACTGATAGGAAAAAATGCCAGCCCCATGTCGATTTTTGATACTTTTTCATGCTTTTTTAGCAAAATTTCTCTATGAAAACAAGAGTATATGTATAAGAAAATGGAAAAGGACCCATTTTTCATATTGTTGTTATAGGATGTGAAGTTTTAACATCACCTGTACTAAAATAAATACAAAAAAGAACTAATTTTATCATATAAATTGCGTATTAGCCATTTTTTAATAATTTGGCGGCCATCTTGGCGGCCATCTTGGATTTCTTAAAACGTACCATGATTTGACATGTCTACCCAAAATTTTTGTAAACTTCAAACATTTAGCTATACATTGGTATAACATTTATCCATGGACCTTTTTTGCACACAAAAGGTCCCCAGGGACTGTACTAATAGGAAAGTTGAGAAATCATACAATGTAAATAGTCAATAGATATATCTTCTAAAACTAATTGTTAATCTTTCTTGTTACATCAAAATGTTTAAGAAGTTGTTGATAATTGATATAATCTTCTATTCTTTTGTTATTGCTTTTTATGCAGAATGCGCATGCGCGAAATGCTACTTCTTTTACTATGGAAATAAAAGGTTGACATATCTTACAAATGTAAACAGTCTATACAAAAGTTGAGATATCGATCTTAACATTGTAAACAGTCTATACAAAAGTTGACATCTTACAAATGTAAACAGTCAATACAAAGGTTGACAAATCTTGCAAATGTTAACAGTTGATACAAAAGTTGAGATCTTACAAGTGTAAACAGTCAATACAAAAGTCGTAAAATTCTGCCAGATATAAACAGTCAATACAAAAGTCGAAAAATCTTACAAATACAAAAGTTGACATCTTAAAATTGTAAACAGTCGATACAAAAGTTGACATCTTACAAATGTAAACAGTCAAAACAGAGGTTGACAAATCTTACAAATGTTAACAGTTGATACAAAAGTTGAGATCTTACAAATGTAAACAGTCAATACAAAAGATGACATCTTATTGTCCAACAATATTGACCTGGCACTTCATTAACTTTCGTAAAGGTCACTTGAATAAACTCTGACCAATATCTATCGAATATATTGATAAATTTGCTAACTTCACTCGTCAGTGAGGTGTGGTGTATTGGTATAGATGTCGTACTACCGATCTGAATGTCTCTGGTTTGAATCCTTACCATCATCACGTTATGATTTTTCTTTTAATTTACTTGCAAGAATTAATTTGAAATCGTTTTACTTCAACTGGTTTTAGAATACCTTTTAAAGGGTGTTTTTATACACAACTATATTATTTCATTACAGAATCTTTCAACGGAACTCTTTGTGACATTATGCAATCTTATAATTATTCTTTAGCTCACACACGCTATAAAGGCAGTTACATGTATTAAAAATACTACACAGAAAGCACACAGAACAAAACGGTTTGCAATAGTTTCTAGAGAATGGGAATTTAAAAATTAAGATAAAACAGAAATCGCTGAAATAGGATTCGAACCTACCAGTTTACGTCAACATTCTTCTAGTGAAACACCTTTACCAACTGCGTTAAGAGTAATCTTCAATTTTCACCATTGTAATAATTGAATATTTTTAAAATTAGATCGTAACGGTTACGGGATATACCGATTACATGGTCAAATGCAAGAGTGCCAGGTCAATATTGTTGGACAATACCATTCAATGCAACAGTTGGACAAATGTAAACAGTTGATACAAAAGTTGAGATCTTACAAATGATACAAAAGAGTAAATTAAAGAAAGTAAAGTATGCGTGACAATATGCTCATATATAAAACAAGTGTTATTATGGTAATTGATCAACAGTTCATATCGAAAGATATTAAGTATAAATTATTAATCAGCATACAATATAAAATACTACCCTACTTTTTTACAGATAAATTCTGATGGAAAATTTGGAAATTTATATGACTTTCCTTATGCCGAGTGAAATTTTTCATACGAGATGAGGTAAAAGAAATTATAGCAAATGAAAACTTATTTTTACTAAAACATGTTTAAACCCTTGGATGGGCGTAATGCCACTTAAATTAACAAAAAGAAATTCGTTTCTAAATTTGGAATTTGTTATATTCAAGTTACAATTAAACTTTACAATACAGTACAAATAAAAATCCACCTTTTGACACGTGTGTCTTTTACAGCTAGTGTTATTGAGTGAAGAGTTTAGATATTAACCTAGTCACTGACTGCAATAAATGGAATATTGCGGGGGGGATAGTTGAATATACGTACATGATAAGATAAGAGATGTCGTCAGATAACGCCGGTTTTGGGGACAAATAACAAGTAGCCATTGCTTTAACAGTTTATTAAAGTGGGAACATATATTCAAACATGGCAAGTCAATAGTTATATTCATTTTAAATGTAAAATATCACATTTAACGTAAATAAAATATTACATTCAATATATAATCGAATTTTTCACTTTGTATCTAATTTAGATGCTAACAGGCATTTCCGAAAACGTATTTTTAAATGTTTAGTATCAATTATAGAGATGTTTTTAATAAAAGAGACAATACACAATTGGGAATGACTTGGTCAGATTCCGGTGATCTTTACTGTTTGAAAAGGATATATAATTTTGAAACCAACATTGTAAAAGTTTAACATAATCATGATATTTAATAAACAGAAACATATTTGAAACGCGCGTTTTACATTCATTTTTATTATATTTTGGGTACTCCGAGTTTGGCTGTATATTGATTATTCTGAGACCGATTATTTCATTCATGCTAAGATATTATTTCTCACTAAGATTGTTGTCACAACACTGAACTTGATGAATTTGTGTAAGGAAAATTGCTCTGCTCTGTATTTAGAACAGTCCTATCAACGTTCAATATCAAAGTACAAAAAAAACCTACTAAAAGTAAAAAGCTTTGTCATACTGCACGGATCGATGTATATAAGCAGGCCAGGCATTAAATCGGTAGCCTGTGCCAATCATTTCAAGTTCAAGCAGGTTACAGGTTAATATAGACAATATGTCGGCAATACTGTAGCCAGGATAAAAAAACAACATTCAAGTACATATGTTATAGACATAAAATCTTGACGTTGGAATAAACCATTTTTCAACTCTATGAACTCATACCCATTGAACATGTTTTGGATACTATTGGATAGTTACTAGTTGACGTTAGGTACGTCCCATTGTATAAATATTGACGCATAGGATTTAGCACCATGAATAGCATTGTCAAATGGACAGCATGTAGACCTGTCAAACAGCCATTTGTTTGGGATTGTATCTTGCGTGACGCAGCTCAAAATATTGACGCTTAGGAACTAGCACCATGAATAGCATTGTCAAATGGACAACATGCAGACCTGTCAAACAGCCATTTAATTACTAAGTGTGTTGGGGATTGTATTGCGTAAGGCGGGGATACTGCAATAGTAGTATAATGTTGTTGCTAATATTACTTGCTGAGAATTACGCGATATCATTAAGAATGTAGTTTACAGTCAAATAGACTCATACAACAATAGAAAGGAGACAAAATGACTTTAGAATATGTAAATCTATTTCATTTAATAATGCATGTTGATCTTCGCTTATGGTCTTCGTATGATACTTTCATATAAAGGAACTTGCGCAAATTGAAATCGGTCATTGCTTTTAACTTCTACCATAGAAGTATAATGCGTTACAATTTTTATGTGTAAATTTTTCTAACTTAAAGTATTTAATGTAACACAAATAATTTTGTTTAGTTGTATTTTTCTTGCAGAAAATAGTTTGCCTGTTTATGCTGTTTGTTGTTGTTGTTTCGCAAAGTCCTCACAAGTAAGCAATGCTACCTTACACTAACTATATCAAATTATTTAATAGCACTACTACTGACTATTTTATTGTCAAAAGACATATAGAAATTAAAAACTATCAAATTATTTAATAGCACTACTACTGACTATTTTATTGTCAAAAGACATATAGAAATTAAGGTTTCTACTACTTTAATAACACTACTACTGACTATGTTACTGTCAAAAGACATATAGAAATTAAAGGTTTCTACTACTTTAATTAACACTACTACTGACTATGTTACTGTCAAAAGACATATAGAAATTAAAGGTTTCTACTACTTTAATAACACTACTACTGACTATGTTACTGTCAAAAGACATATAGAAATTAAAGGTTTCTACTTTTCAACAAGAGGATTTGTACTATTTGACCATGTCTTGTTATTCCGTTAGTATTTTAATAGTACTATCAAATCCGTATGGTGTATATACGTACATTTGACTCAGTTGTATATTATATAAATATGGACTTATTAGCGGGTGAATATGGTGTGATATGTACTGAAAAATCAATATTGACAGAGGTGATAGCCAATCAGAGAAACGCATTTCATAGATTATTTGATCGAAATAACGAAAATATTCTTTATTCCGCTGAACATGCCTCAGAAACATTTAGGTATTTCTTTTTTCTATTCATTTTTTTATTTTCTTTATCATTATTATTATTTATTAATTTATTTTTATAAGCATCTGACAAATGTTTAATCATTGCTTTTAATTTTATCTTATACTTTTGCAACTTTGTATCTTTTTACAGCCCATCACGCCCGGATATTTATGGACTTATCAATTTATTGTATCTAAAGGCCGATGCCGATCTGAATGGACAAATCACAGAAAGTGAATTGGCAGATGTTTTCAAAGGATTCGATAAAAACAGTAGCATGCCTTTTTCTCTTTTGTTTAACTTTGGGTGACATTAAGATCTTTTGCTTCTTTAAGTTGCTTTAGCAAAAAAAGTACTTTTGAAGAATGACTAAGTAAAGCCTGCGTCACATTACATTCCGATTAGGTTTACGATGGGGTACCGATGTCTGAACGGCCTGAAATTGCAAATTTTTTAAAGGTCTCCGGCCGGTGACCCTCCGGTGTCAAGTGACCGGTGGGGCACCGTACAGGTAATCGGAGAATTTTAGTGCAGAGTAGTATATTTTCTTCCGGCATCCGGTACATCGCCAGCTCATCGTAGCAGACACAGTAAAATACCCTCCGATACCCGGTCGGACACCTTTTGTTATCGGTTACATACCGATTAAAATTTTCACCTCCTGTGTGCCAAATATTGTTTTAGTTTCCGAGCGATATATGAGTGGTCACCGAAGGCGTCTCGAAAGGTTACTGAACAGGACCCGGGCGGACGCAGTACGTTGCACGTTGGTCCTAAGGTATCCGTAAGGATAGCGTTAGGGTTTACGGCAGGTAAAGCCTTAAACTCTGAATTAGGCGACCCGTGTATAATTCTTGGACAACGGTGAAGGTCACTTTCGTTGTACAGAAGTTATCAGTACCTTGCGAAAGTGAAAGAGATTATTACTGTTTAACTGCTTGACAGACAGACTGTCCAGGAACGATACAATGGCTGAACTGTGCTCTGGTATGTATATTCAAGTTGGCTGTAGTGGTTTGCCTGCCCGTGCTCTGCCTTGTGCCCTGTCCAATTTTTTGTTTGGGGTCCTCCTGGGCTCCTTGCCGCTGGCGCTTGTTATTGGGTCGGGTGAGGGCTGCGTTCATTGAACGCCGCCTTTCCTTGTCGATCTTGTTTATCATATTTTTTACTGCCATAGTCATCAGGGTAAATCATAAATACCACCATCATTCTCTCATTAGCCAGTGTTCAGAGATGAATCGGTTAAATCGCTAGACTTAAAATCTGTACATTGTGGGTTCGATTCCCGGGATGACCTACTGAAATTACTAGGAATCTTCCGGACGAGACTTTAAAGCATAGTCCCGTGTATGAGCGCTTAAACACTTGGATAGGTAAAGAGGAAGAAGATTGTTTGGTGTACTGCTTGGCTCTTTTACGGGGGTCATGCTGTGTTACTGGATAATGTCGCGGTTGCGTTCATTGTACGCTGCCTTCTTTATTGATCTTGTTTTTCATATTTTTCTGAAATTGTGGCATCTTGCTATCTGTATCTTCCGATGTCCTCCAAAATTTAAAATGACTTATACTCTGCTGGAGGACTCGCCTATACAGGCAACCGATGGCGAGTATTAAGCTCTGGAAGCAAAGTGATCCCTCGGAAGCATTAATCACAACAAAATTACATAATAATTGCAGACTCGGTTTGCAGACTCCGTACATTTAATCAATGATGTTATATTTTCGATCCTTGAAGATCGTTCAGCACGTCATTATTGTTGTGTACACATATTAGATGGTAGTTTTAGTTTCTTGTATTTGGCCTTTTTAAAATTTGGGTGGTTCCAGTATTCCTACTTGAATACTGTATAATCACCCTCAGGATATGTTGCCTGCTTTTTAAATTTGTCTTTGACGTCTTGTCTGTGATATGCAGGCTTTGTAACCTCAGATCCCCTTTCAAAATTCCATTTTATTCAGTTCGGCCCATTGTTTTTCTCTTTAAGGGCACACGCATTCTTTTACTTGGGGACCATACGCCGCTTTTCATGGAATGACACTACTGTGTGACATTGAAGGTTCCATGATAACCGCCGTATGAACACATCTGCGGATGTTTCTAAATACAAAATTCACAATTTTTGTGTTTAAATGTTGAAATCTGCTTAAGCCGGTGCTAGAAGGCGTGGACGGTAACTTGCACTTTCCAGTACCGTCCATGAACAGAACAGGCTCAATCAAACCGAGCCTGCAACATTTTACAATTTTGCCGTGTTGGGCTTTCTTTAGGGATTCTTTTTTTCACTATTTTATTTGATTGAGTCTCTACTCAATTACACACACATATTCTCACAGTTTTCACACTTGTCAGAGGTTTCTTAAAGTTTTCAAGTTTGATTTACAATCTTTTATGGAAAACTTTGAAATTCAGAGTGTATTATATACCATCCAAAACAGAATGCAAAGAAGGGATTGGGGAGAAATCAGAGGGGGAAAAGGCAAGGAAAAATGCCAACAAAAGAGGGGGTGTGAATAACTGCCGGAAAATGGGATAGCACGCCATACGAATACCGTCCGACAGCCGACCAGATATCGCACGTATACTTTACCGTCACCGTACGATTGTTGCAAACAGGCCAGATAACGGAAGGCAATTGGACATTTATCGTACGGTAGTCTGCCGGTTACCTTTAGAATATCGACCGGAGTCCAGAAAGAAGATGCCAAGGGTTTTCACTGGGTGACTGGGCGAGTACACTTCGGAAACCGTCCGAATACCTAATGGACGACAGAGAGAGAATGACCGCCCAGTTCTTCCCGGACATGATTGAAATGTTTCTCTCCGATCTCAATTTTTCAACGGTGTCCCATCGATGCCTCTTTATCGGCCGGTCCCCGCTTGTAATGTGACGTAGGCATAATTGAAACTGTTATCTATGATTTTATGTTAGGTAATACGAACATTCATTGAAAGCGTTTAATAAAAGTTTATATTATGCACCAAATGCGAGGCGTGTGTACGCTTACAGTTATGAAATAGAATTAACCTTCTTACTTACTCCAAACGATAAAGGTCATCCGTGATCACGTGATATTTTTTGTTCACCCAACACACCCTCAGACCAATGAGGACTATGCTCACAAACTCGCTTAAATGTCTCCTTCTGATTAAAATTTTGATTGCATTTTTCGTAACTTAATGAGTTTAATCTAACAGAGTTATGTTGTCTCTTTGTTCTCCAAGGTGACGGGACAGTGACAAACGCTGAGTTTGTTGAACTGTGGATGCAACTGACGTCACAGACCACTGCCCTTGCCAATGCCTACTTTCACCTTGCCGATCTGAATGATGATAAAATCATTAACAATAATGATTATCATCTAATATACCAGGTGTTTGACCTAAATCGTGAGTTAAACAAGTTATTCTTATCACTTACTCTTTCTTTATATTTTGTTAAAGGAACTCCACTGAGGGAAAAATGTCAAAAAAATATAATATTTCAAAATCTAACGAATATCAATTGAAACACAAAAATGGACAAAATTTAATCTGCAAACGATGACAAAGAAGTATACTCAGAAGTGAATTTTAAATCGATTTTCGTACAATTTTTAGCCGGTTTTATGCGAAAAGCGTTGCAACGCTATTCATTTTTGGGTTCTTTTCTATTACAAAAATGATCATTCTGAAAATAAAACGGAGAAAGTGAATAAGCTGAAAATGTGCACTTAAATAATCCGTACAAACCTACATCAATTGGTACAAAAACCACGGAAAAATATTTGCTTGTCTTGCCAATTCAAAATACCTCAGTGGAGTACCTTTAAATTTAATATGAGTGTAAATCTTCATATATGCATGTTAGGTCAGTCAACAGAGAAGCATATATTGATCGGAAAAAATTGGGTTTAGAGCACTTGTCGCGCACGCGTTATTCGTATGCTCTCCTGTGTTTCTTACAATTGTAGTTTTGCCAGTAATCATTCGCTTTGCTAGCAGTAACTTGTTTTCCTACCAATTTATACATTTTCTTATTTTACAGTAAGTTTCTAGTTTTACTAGCAATTACTAGTGTTTCATAGCAGTTTCTACAATTTCTAATTTTACTGCCAGTAACTATTTTTTCATAGAGCAGTTACTAGTTTTCCTAGAAGTTACATGTTTCCCTACCGGAATGTTGTTTTCTTTTCTAAGCAGTCACCAGTTTACCAGCAGTTGCTAGATTTCCTAGAAGATAATTGTTTTTTTTTTCTTTCCAAGGCGTTATTTATTTCCTAGCAGTCACTCCATTTCCTAGTTTTACTAATAGTTTTTACATTTTCTATGCAGTCACTTCCAAGCAGTTTTTTATTAGCAGTAGTTTACCTAGACGTTAATTTTTTCTCTAGCAGATACAACATTTTCTAGTTTTACTAGCATTTTCTAGTTTTCCTTGCAATTTTTGTCCTAACAGTAACCACATTTTCTAGTTCAACTAGCAATAACTAGTTTTCCTAGCAGTTAATAGAAACAGTCATTTTGTAAATTTTGGAAGATCATGTGTTTGTATTAAAACTCCACCTTGCTCCTGGTTAGACATAGCGCATGTCCAAGTTTTGACCGGCACAGTTTATCAAAATTTTGTATCATTTGTTTTTATCTTTACAGACGATGGTTCGGTGTCTGGAAAAGAATTTGCTTCAAAATGGGAAGACGTAAGTTACATATTTATAATGAAACATCAACTGTTGTATACTACTTACATACCATTACCAGGGTTCCAGATGTGCATATTTATCAAAAACTTCATTATTTAAAAATTCGTATCGCAAGATAAGCGAAGCAAAACAACAATTCGACGGTCTAGTGCTATAAGGGCGCAAATGCATTTTTACAAGTTTCGGGAAATTGAAAAAAACTGTCTGCAGACTTTGATCCTTTATCAATCAAGATAAAATTTGGGACACACTTAGAACAACTAATATCGACTTTTTTAAAGCATTTTTCAAATTAAAATAACCCACCACCTTAATAAAATTCACGAAATTCGTTTAATGCCCTTACAATATTTACATTTTCATGCATCGGCCAATAATTCTAAATGGACGTAACTAGCAGTTACGCTGTTTAAAATTGTTACTTCGACTTAGCTTAATAGGGCGTAACTACCATATATGCCCTTTTAGATTTTAGTGTATTCATAAATGTTCAATACAATTATATAATTGTTTTTATCTATAACAATAATGAATTATAATAAGTGACCATTTTTAAAGTATCCTTTGTCTTTTATCCTATGACATTGTATGTGAAGGTTACATGACAGATAAATAAAACACGTAGGCGCCTATTGATTGTAAATGTTACATAATTATATGATTTAGAACAGTTTCTATGTTTCATTAAATTAACTCCCAGCTGCTTATTACATAATTTACCTTAGAAGTTACATCAAATTGATTTTTTCCTAGAATTAACTTAAATGACTGATACATTCTGTGTGTGGAAAACCCACGTAGTAATGCTACATATCAACTATCTTAGCTCTGAGTATTGTGTCGTAGTTTCATGTGGTCCATTGAAACCATTAATGGAAAAAGGTCGTACTTCAAGTTGGATTAAAATCCACATTAGGATTAAAGAAGAGATATTTCTAAAGAACTTGTGGTTAACGACGGACGACAGACATATTCCTATCACAGACAAAACTCACCCAAGCACTAAAACGCTAAGGACGAACCATTATTAACGATTAATGTACAATGATGCATATACGGCATCTAATACTAAACATAAAGGCAACTTTGATACAAATTTTGACTGTTTAGTTTATACAAATTTATTTAAGTTCGGTTGTGTTGGAAGTCGTAAGCTTATCTAAACACACTTGAATTTGCTCCCATTGAAACAATACCTTGGCCCTTACGGGTTTTGAACAGTCAAACCTTTGGTTCTTGTTACAGTAGCCTGATTTAAGCAAGTTGAAAATATTTTTGAAAACTAAAATATACATTTTCAGACAAAATACACAAAATAAATCTTTTTTTCTGTATTGAGGCATGAATGAATGATCATTCATAAGATACACATGAAATATTATCATCAAATCATGTATTCATGTTTACATGTACATATTGTTGGAATTAGAATTACTTAAAAAAAATCTGCCAAATACAAGCTTAAAAGCACTTTGAAATTTTGAAAGAATACACTATTTATACTACTAACAGATCCAAATTCAAATTTTATTGTAATTAACAATCAACTTTAGATCAATGACACTAAGACTAAGCAATGTCAACTGTATCTAACATTAAAGTGTGTGAACTCTATGCTACTATACCATAGTCTATTCCCGTCACACAGTGTTGTCCAATGGCCCAATGTACAAAAACCTTCGTTATTATTTAAAAAAATTAATTAACAGTTTTCCCATAAAGAAATTATTCATATTAGCTTTTATGTAATCTGGGTCCTTTCGACCCTTTTACAAGCTTGACATGCACGGTGTCTCCTGCCATCTCAGAATGACTTCTAACAGAATTGGTGTGGATTTTGTCAGTTTCTAAAGTGTTTACTGCACAAAGACACATTGTTGAAAATGAAGCCACATGAAGCTATCGGAGTAGAATAAACATTCTTTAACATGACAAAATTATGAATGTTTATAAAGACAATTTAATGCAATATCGTTGCTTCCTTTTTGGAAATTTCTCGGTCTATGGGAGGGGACATTCCTCCCACTCCCACCTGATTATAGATAGGTACAACTAGAGGCCTATATTTTACGAAACATGCAATGCAATATTGCTATTTCTTTAATCATGTCATTTTATTTCTAGTGATTCAGTTTTACCCCCTTATCTTTAATGTGTATCCTTAAATGTGTCAAGGTATGTCCATGACTCGTGACATAAAGTCATAACGTGCGTATGTGTGATTATCCGACTATCTGTTTGAACTAACGTATCAAAATCTTAAAAGGGCCTAACTTCTACTTAGGATCTTATAAAATTTGAGCACGGTGTAGTTATGGTATAGTTACGCCCTTATAAAGTCGTTCATCCGCCCATATATCCCGTTTAAAAACCTTAAAGTCGTTTATACACAGTCATATAACATGTTGCAAGTCTTACAGGTCGTTCAAACACGGACATAAATTTTTATATGTCGCTCATATTTCATGTTGAAAGGCTATGGCAGTATAGAATTCTTACAACCGTTAATACACGGTCACATAATCGGTTGAGTCCAACAGCCTGACATACATGACCATATAACGTGTCAAAAGTATTACAGCCGTTCATAAACAGACATGTAACCTGTTGAAAGTATTACAGTCGTTATTAAACGACCATATAACCTACTTTAAGCCTCACAAACGTACATACACGACCATATAACCTGCTCAAAGCATCAAAACCGTAAATACACGACCATATGACCTGCTGAAAGCCTCACAACCGTATATACACGACCATATGACCTGCTGAAAGCCTCACAACCGTACATACACGACCATATAACCTGCTTAAAGCCTCACAACCGTATATACACGACCATATGACCTGCTGAAAGCCTCACAACCGTACATACACGACCATATGACCTGCTGAAAGCCTCACAACCGTACATACACGACCATATAACCTGCTCAAAGCCTCACAACCGTACATACACGACCATATGACCTGCTGAAAGCCTCACAACCGTAAATACATAAACGGTCATATAACATATTTGAAATCCTTATATCGAATTTGTGATACTGTTTAATTTCAATTGCCGCTGCGAGTAAAAATGATATTTTGATTTCAGATTATCCGAGAGACGCCATTTGCAGTATTGTTCGAGAGATCTGATGTTAATAAAGATGAGTTTCTAAATCATAACGAATTTAGAAACTTCTTTTCCTCATTCGACGCAAACTGTGAGTGTTATAATCACTTTCATCCATAACTTTTATCCACATCCTACTAATTAAATGTTATCGAATTGACCTTCGTTGGCTTTTTAAGATTCCAACACTTTTGCTTCATACGAAAAGGGAAAAGAAAAGGGGGAAAAGGTTAAGCGACCGACAATATACCGTCAATTATATATTAAACAATTTCGTATTGATCGACAAAGGCACCGAAAATATAATATTTATTTTACGTAATGATTTTTTTTTGTCGAAAACTTTTGTTTTTACTTATCAAGGTCTTTTAAAGAAGTTAGTGTTCGCCCGACTTTCTTTACTTATCCGTGACAGTGTTGTTTTATTATTATTTTTTGGCTTTTTTATCCTAATATAGTATATAAAATCTATATAAATTAGGACAATAGAAACTTTAAACCTACTAGTACATAAAAAAGGACAATATAGATATAAAATCTACACAAAACAGGCCAATAGAAAAAAAATCTATTTAAACTTGACAATGGATTATAAGATTTATTTTACTTAATCAGCTCCATTTGTATCTGATAAGTGCTGTCAAGTAGTACAATACAGAAAATAAAACGTTGATTCCTTTATCGTTTATCTTTTGTCGAGTCCGTTTGCGTTGTATGAACGTCCGTGCATCAATCCGTCCGTCCGTGCGTCCGGATTTGTCCGGTCTATATCTTGCTCATTCTTTGAAGGATTACAAAATAATTTGGTACAAATGTTCACCATGATGGGGTGGTGTGTCGGGACATTAGAATAAACATGAAGTAGAAAAAAAAGGAAAATAGAGGATAGAATCTATATAAAATAGCCAATACATGAACAATATAACATTACCCTGATAAACAGACACATACTTTGTACATTTATTACTCGTGAATAGTCGTTTAAACCCGTCAGTTTCTGATCTACATAATTTATCTCGCTTCAATTGATGTTTGCTGAATATTTTATCATTATTTGATCATTATAGATATAAACATGTAAACATAATATCCGTAAAGTGCAAAATAACTCCGAATAATTCTTACATTGTGTCGTATATCAATTTTGTTAGCTGACGGAAAGGTAGACAACCAAGAATTTGACGCCGGTTGGTCGCACGCTGACTTCGCTCTTTTATCTGATGCCGACCTGTTGTTTGGTGACATTGACAAGAATGGAGATGGTAGCATAACGGGACATTCCGACATGGACCAACTCTTTACCACCTATGACGCTAACGGTAATGTGTTACGTAAACATTTTGTCATTGTCCCATTTGAGCTGTATTGATTCTGTATTTCAATAATGGTAATTGACCAACAGTTTATCACTTATGGAAAATGTTTAGAATAAATGTAAATCTGCCTAAAATATAAATACTACCTCACTCTGTTCATTGTACTCACTACATTTTTGTCACCTAACATCTTTTTCATATTATTGTAAACACTACATTTTCGTCACATGACATCTTTGTCATTCCATTGTATACACTACATTTTCGTTTTGTGACATCGTTATTATTTTATTGAAAACACTAAATTTTGTCACGTGACATCGTTATCATTTCATTGTACACACAACATTTTCTACACGTGACATCGTTGTCATTACAGCGACACACTACATTTTCGTCACGTGAAGTCGTTGTAATTTCACTGTACACATTTCATTTTCGTCACATGAACTCGTTGGAATTTGATTGTGTACACTACATTTTCATCACGTGACATCGTTGTTATTGCATTGTACACACTACATTTTCGTCACGCAAAATCTTTGTTATTTCATTGTACATATCACATTGTCGTTAAATACCATTGATATTTGTAGTAATCATTAGATGTAATTCTGTTTTTTTTCCACAGGAGATGGTAAAATGGCCCTCCAGGAAGTGATTCAGGTAATATTTAACGATTTATATAATAGTAACTTCATTTATAATACATGTATGTATTTGTCTTTCTATTGCTCATCGTTTTACTTGTTATCGAGTGGGTATGCAAATTGATGATTACTGTTTCGCATACGAAAATATAATGACCCGAGACACATCTATGACCTTCCCATAACGATTTTTTTCGAGTTCGTTTTATTTAAGTATTTCATTCAGTTTTGTGTCCTTCTGTGTAATGAAAAACATCTGCATTTTGCTTACCTACCACTAAGGCAACACAAATATGTCAATTTCTTGGTGGAGAACAAAATGTAAGCTTTAACACCAACTCATAAACAACCTTATGTGATACGTGACATTTTGGAGTGTTAAACTAGAGACCTCAGGGTTCTATCACTTAACTTTTACGATACTTGCACAAACACCTAGCCCACTGAGCGATGCGTCCTACACTATGAACTTAAAGACAATCTATGCTTATCTTTGGGTTAAACTGTTTTTTTGTTGTTGTTTTTTTTGTTGTTTTTTTTAAATCAAGGAATAATTTCTTACTGAATATGTCTAATTGTACAAACTGTAAATCTGGTCCTTTCTTTAAAAAATAACAACAACTTCATATTATTAAGGGCACTGAGTACGCAAGCATTTACATATGTTGTAAGAGTTTAAAAAAATAACGTCTTTCAAGATGGTCATATCATTTAAAGAGACTGTATAGCACTTCTCAATATTTTCAAGCGTTTTCCCAGTCATCAAATAAACAAGAAGATGTGATGAATATTGATTCTACTCAATTGTTTTATAAAATGTCTTTATAATAAGTTATTATTTATTTTCAATCTTTCAGATGAAGACTCTCCTGAAACTGCTACAAAACAGCAATGCAGGGACTGTAGGATGATTCAGTCGTAGATGAAAAAAACTGTAAATTATTTAACCCAAGTTGTCTTAAATTTGTATTCGTAAATAAATCAAGCACACTTACATTTTGTTAATTAATTTGCTTCCTTTATAGAAAACTATGGAAGCCGTGGAGGGACATTAATTTGATTACATATACTGTAGAAGTTATCATTTAATACTTATAACTGACACATTTCTATTGGAAGGATCTGAAGAAGTACATGGACTTCGAGCAAGGATACGTGTCTTAATTGTCCAAAAACTATTTCTGAATATTTGAGCAAGGTGATAACGTCACAATCAAATTTACAACAAGTCTATTATCAGATAAACCACATTAAAATTTTTAACCTTCTGGATTTGTATAGTGGTTTTGTCCTGCTTCAAATGTGGAAAAAGTTCTTTCCAGGTTTTAGGGATTTTGTATCAAAATAAAAAAGATCTATCAATACTATACGGTCTGGTCAGAATTTTTGTCAATAAACCAGTGTCAAAGGTCGTCACTTCCTGTGTCAAAATACTGATGTCAAAGGTCGTCATTTCCTGTGTCAATATACTGGTGTCAAAGATGGTCACTTCCTTTGCCAATACACTGGTGTCAAGAATGGTCACTTCCTGTTTCAATATACTGGTGTCAAAGGTCTCACTTCCTGTGTCAATAAATTGGTGACAAAGGTCGTCACTTCCTTTGTCAATATACTGATGTTAAAGGTCGTCACTTCCTTTGTCAATATACTGATGTCAAAGGTCGTCACTTTCTGTGTCAATATACTGGTGTCAAAGATGGTCACTTCCTGTGTCAATACACTGGTGTCAAAGGTCGTCATTTCCTGTGTCAATATACTGATGTCAAAGGTCGTCACTTTCTGTGTCAATATACTGGTGTCAAAGATGGTCACTTCCTGTGTCAATACACTGGTGTCAAGGATGATCACTTCCTGTGTTAATATATTGGTGTCATAGGTCGTCACTCCCTGTGTCAATGCACTGGCGTCAAAGGTCGTCACTTCCGGTGTTAATACACTGGTGTCAAAGGTCGTCACTTCCGGTGTCAATACACTGGTGTCAAGGGTCGTCATTTCCTGTGTCAATACACTGGTGTCAAAAGGTGGTCACTTCCTGTGTTAATATACTGGTGTCAATGGTCGTCACTTCCTGTGTCAATACACTGGTGTCAAAGGTCGTCACTTCCTGTGTTAATATACTGATGTCAAAGGTGGTCACTTCCTGTGTCAATACACTGGTGTCAAAGGTCGTCACATCCTGTGTCAATACACTGATGTCAAAGGTGGTCACTTCTTGTGTCAATATACTGGTGTCAAAGGTGGTCACTTCCTGCGTCAATACACTGGTGTCAAAGGTCATCACTTCCTGTGTTAATATACTGGTGTCAAAGGTCGTCACTTCCGATGTCAAGACACTGGTGTTAAGGGTCGTCACTTCCTGTGTCAATACACTGTTGTCAAAGGTGGTCACTTCCTGTTTTAATATACTGGTGGCAAAGGCCAGTAGCTTCCGGTGTTAATAAACTGGTGTCAAATGTCACTTCCGGTGTCAATATACAGTTGTCAAAGGCCAGTCACTTCTGATGTTAATATACTGGTCACTTCCGATGTCAGCAGTTAACAAATAGTTTTATGTTACAGCACTGAGTACCGATCAAGCCGGTGCTTTATATAGACTTAGTCAAACAGAGTCTGCAATTTTCATGTAATTTTGCTGTTAATAATGCTTCCGAGGGATCACTTTTTTACAGACATTTATGTTAGAGGGCTCAACGCATCAATTCTCCGGTTCCTCAGTGCAAACCACACATGTTTCGATTGACATTTAAACTTCCGCCAAGAAAATAAGTTCAACTTCAAATGTACAACGGCATATGACCACAAAGATTATAGATCAAATTTAAGGAAATTAATTATCAAGAGTGTAAAATTCGTAAGCTAGGGATACTAGGTTGATTCGGTGTATATGATAAGGATCAACTTCAACGTTTGGTCCTGAAAACAAGACATTAAGTGTCCATGAAAGTTTAATATTATTCTCAAACTTTCTGATCATGTATAACACTCGTGACTTAAGTGCACTGTTTAATGTACGGTATTTAAGGTAGCTAGCTACTTTCCTACCGAAATTTTACAATATCTTAGACCTGAATTTGGTATGCAAGTATGCTTTACTTCAGCAAGACAGAGCGTTAGTATGACGTCAAGGCTCTGTTTTTTTATAACTATATACATGATGTAATAAGCGAAATGTTACCAAATATGCGGAAAGGACAATGAATATTTAACTTTACAGTGAGTGTGTTTCAATTGTTCCATATTTTGCTAGCGACGGACCTGACATTAATTAAGGTCACTGACACCGACAGATAAGGAAAATAAAGTAACGTCAGACATAGTGAAATGACCTGATGTTTTATCTCACAGATAAAGAGCTAGGTTTGTTAACTTGCCAGTACTAGTACATCAAATCTGCAAGAAATATGGTGAGATTTTATTTTCTTCTGTACCGAATTTAAATGTTTTCCATTCTCTGTATGGTTCCAGTTTATGTCTTAAATGAATTATAATCTTCCGTTCTGTGTTGAATCGGTTGCATCCTCGTTGTTTTACAAAGTTATTATAATCTTTGAGAATTGAAGACTGACTCGCAGACGACGTTATTGCTTTGCGGGAGATGCTATTTATTAAAGAAGAATAATTCTTTGATTAGATGCCACTTATTGAAGATTAAAAACTGCTAGTTCACAATTAATTCAGACCCTCTCTATATCCCCCTTATAGTGTGGTTGTTCTTCAGAAATCAATGTTAAATTTAACCCGCTATTTATTAAGTTACTATTAACTATAATTATTATTCAATGAACGCCAGAATGCGAAAACGACCTTAAATCTTGAACGGAGTTCAAAAGATTTCAGCGTTGTCTTTACAGTAACAAAATAATTACAACAGTGAATTACTTTTGGAATATTAAAGATAGATATGAATAAGTAAAGATAAGAAAATTTCAGAAGATTTTATTCATCTTAAAAAGCAATGGAAATTAATATTGTTGAGAATTTAGCTATGTCAATTTATAAAAAAAGTAAATGACGTTATGATTTTTTTTCTCAGTTCGGCGTTCCAAATTTTGTCATTATCCACCAAAATAATTTAATTCAGATATCAATGTGATCAGTGATTGGAATTATTGAAATGATTTCAAATATAATGTTTTTAGTTATATGAAACGTATTTTCTATATAATCAAACCTATATTTCTTTTCTTAAAATTCTCAAGCTAATTCAATACTGCCAAAAATATTCAGACCTGAGGTAATATATATTTAATATATTAATGAGGTATTATATATTTCAGATCTCCATTGTACTATTCGGATGCCTTCTAATTGTCCCTGCATTGTAAGTAAATTATGAAACGAAAAGTTTGTTTAAGGACAATTGCTTCAAATTATAAAAAATGCAGTTTAATAGAGATCAGTTTTCATATATGAGCATCAGATCATAAAATATACCTTAAATTTTCAAAAATGCCAAGAAAAGATACTAAATTGTAGCCACAAATTACATCATATTGTTTAACTACTATGTCCTGTGAAGTGAAGATATTTCACATTTGAATATCAATATAACGTCACAAATGTTACATTCCTTCTGTTATATTTGATATAAGATGGTCATTTAAACCATTTTTCCTTTATAATTGTAGTAAATTTCACTTTAATCAGTGATTTTATTTCGTTAAGGGGAGATCAAGGACTGAAAGCTGTAGATTTATTTCATCAAGTGGACAAAAACGGTGATGACCGTTTAACAAGGGTCGATCTTGACGCTATATTCCTTCTGTTCGATACCAACAGTAAGTTTTTTCCATTTACTTCATACCTGTTTTTGAAAGTTATCTCCCTTGCCATAAAATTGAGAACAAGGACGACCACGAATGTAATTGTACGGCAGAATTCCAACCATGTTGTTTTTTGCAGAAGATGGCAAAGTGACACCAGATGAGTTCGTTGCAGATTGGCAGACGTTTAACCTTGGTAATCAACAGGAAGCTCAGACCCTCTTCACAAGGGCTGATACAAATGACGATGGTTTTATCGATTCAAATGACATTCCTGCCATATTTGCTTTCTTCGATCAAGATGGTAATATATTTTATACGGATCGTAATCACTGGTGTTGAAGCAGTACCTCTATAGACGCTTGCAAAAATTATGATCACAAAGCTGAAAATATCTCTTTTTTGCACCGATTCTTTCATTTTTCATTCATTATCGTATATATAAATCGGCGTGAATAGATGAATTAGACGTTTTAAAAATGCATTTCGGAAGTTAAAAAGGTGAAATTTTATTATTAAATCACGCAAGCGTCTTGTCCGGTATATACCGGAATAGTGTGGTGCTCCAACACCTTTTTTAGTCTCACCCGGTTTATTTCAGTTAGCTGTGGTCACGATATGATTTTACCAGAATAAGCTGAAGTCTGCAAAGATTTTAGAAATAAGCTCAAACGGTGGTTTAATTTCTGTTCGTGAGAAGGATATTTTAGCAGATTACCTTTCCCCTAATATTTGTCTTCATAAGAAGCGTTTTTTAGTGCTTGCCAGTGCACTCAGTACATGCGAACTTTGCTGTCGCAGATGTACCATGTAAGCGTGGTACGGCAACGTTGTGTAATTTAGACAGTCGAATACTCAACGTAGATTAAAGCCACGTGGGTTTGTTCAAGTTTGCAGACCGTGTCATTGTATTTAACAAGTTATATATCTTATGGATGGACAAAATAGCATGAAAAGACTTACGAGTGATACGAACTTAATTATTACTTTCGTAAGTCTAACTCCCGCACTTCTTTTATCAAGGTCTTTAACGCTAGCAATGCCATCGAAATTGCTATGTCTGTTCGCATGTCTTTTTACAAAAGCTCTTATATCCTAATAGACCGGAATATCTAGCGGCCAACTGTTTAGCGGAAACTCGGCAAAGCCTCGTTACGGCCGTAAACAACTACTAAGATATTCCGGTCTGTACCGTCAGCCGGTGCAAGATACTTAAGCCGGTGTAAGATACTTAAGCCCCAGTCACATTAGAGCTTAGGACCAGTGAAGACAAGTTTACGATCACCAGTGACATCTGGTCGCGGACAATCTTTAAAACGTCTTACGACGGTCATCGGTGATCTTTGACAGTCACAGGGTATCTTATTTAGGTCCCAGGACCAATTTCAGTTGTAGAGAGGTTTTTGAGCTTGCACAACAACCTCCTTGCGATCAAACAGGTCGCTAGTGATCTTATAAGGTCTTAGGCTGTCGCACGATGGTCGTTCAGAAGTGCGACAATCTTACGACAGTCTTTACAAATTTCCACCAGTCACTGATAATCTTGAGTAGTCTTTAGTAATCGTGTGATGGTCGTACGACTAGTTGTAGGTGATCGCAAGACAGGTCACGGGTAGTCGTAAATAATCCCACACAATCTTGAGACCATCGTACGTTTGCTGATGACCTGTCGTGCGATTGCCAATGATGACTGGTCTTGCGAAAGTCGCAGAAGTAAATTTATCTGTGCAAAAAGGGTTTGGGTCGCAGACAATCGTCAGTTTTACAAGTCGTCGGTAACCGCAAGTAATCGTTAGCTCTAGTGTGACGGGGATTTTATTATCCGTACTTATTTTGTCAAGTAACAAAACAAAAAAAAATAACAAAAAAACAACAAACACTTCCTTTCTGGAGGAATTTCAATTCAAAATAAAAATTGAACGCGTATAATTGCTTAACATGAAAAACATGAAAAAAGGAAAGTTTCAAAGAATAAAATCTTTGATGGATTTGTAATGTGTTTTGATAATTTAATCTCATTTAAAACTCATTTTGTAGCGTTATTCGCTTTACATTTTTTTACATAGATTTATTATTAAGAAAATGTTTACTGTTTCTTAACCCTTTCCCTCATGACCATATTGTGAATAAATGGCCGTTTTCATTGAAAAGCCTCCTGTTACAAGTTCAAACTGCTATGAACAACTATGAAAAATGCTTCAATAATAATCAAACTTGGCACAAATGTTGATTGGACCATTGCATTTGTAACGACATGCTCAGTCTAAAATTTCCTGTTACCATGACAACGAGGGACATCTGAAAATTCCCAAAATTCATTATTTTGCGTTGATGTTTTCCATCAAAATTTATTTCAAAGTGCTGCAACTTCTCAATGAATTGAGATAGAGTCAATGGCTTTTCAGCCATTACCTTATGAATCACCTGGCGTCAATTTTTAGCCTCTCACAAGTCCAAAACTTGTTTGGCTATGAGAGGGACTCCCGCCCCATTCAAACCTTCAAAACAGAAGGGGGGAAATCCCTCTCTGGGGCAATCCCTGACGTACCTTTTTATAGGGATCCGCGTCGACAAAGTGATCACTTTTTTTAGCAACATTTCCCAAACGAAAAACTGTGTCTGTGGTCTAAATAGGGTAATTATACCCCAACCACAAAATGGGGGGGGGGGGGCTATAATGGATTCGCTTTGTCGCGTCGGTCGGTCGGTCGGTCGGTCGGTCGGTCGGTCGGTCGGTCGGTCGGTCGGTCCGTCCGTCCGTCCGTCCGTCCGTCCGTCCGTCCGTCTCCATTTTCGTGTCCGCTCTATAACTCCTATACCACTTGAAGGATTTTCTTCAAACTTGGCTAAAATGTTCACCTCAGCAAGGGGATGTGCAGAACCCATGTTGCCCATGTGTCAGCTCAAGGTCAAGGTCACAATTGAAGGTCAAATATCAAACACAATCATATATTAGACAGTATGTCGTGTCCGCTCTGTAGGTCCTACAATAATTGAAAGATTTTCTTCAAACTTGGCTAAAATGTTCACCTCAACAAGGGGATGTGCAGAACTCATGTTGCCCATGTGTCATTTTAAGGTCAAGGCCACAATTGAAGGTCAAATATCAAACAATCAAATATTACACAATATGTCATGTCCGCTCTGTAAGTCCTACACTAATTGAAAGATTTTCTTCAAACTTGGCTCAAATGTTCATTTCAACAATGGGATGTGCAGAACCCATGTTGCTCATGTGTCAGCTCAAGGTCAAGGTCACAATTGAAGGTCAAATATCAAACAATCAAATATTACACAGTATTTCGTGTCCGCTCTGTAAGTCCTACACTTATGGAAAGATTTTCTTCAAACTTGGCTCAAATGCTCACCTCAACAAGGTTATGTGCAGAACCCATGTCACTCTTTTGACGGCTTCAGGTCAAGGTCACACTTAAAGGTCAAAAATTGACTTAGAAAATGTTCTTTAATTTTAACATATATCTGAATATTTCTGAATCTAGGAAAGGTATTTGCTTGAAACTTAAAATATAAATGAAGTGTCACAATTAAGATATGCTGGTCAAGTTTCATAACTCTGTATTGCATTTTAACAAAGTTATGCCCCTTTTTAATCTTTAAATTTACATACAATCACATATTAGACAATATGTTGTGTCCGCTCTATAAATCCTATACTAATGGAAGAATTTTCTTCAAACTTTTCTCAAATGTTCACCTAAACAAGGTTATGTGCAGAATCTATGTCACCTTTGTGCAGACTAAAGGTCAAGGTCAGACTTGAAGGTCAAAAATTGACTTAGAAAATGTTCTTAGATTAAAACATGTTCTTCAATATTTCGGAAACTAGCATAGGTATTTGCTTGAAACTTAAAAGATATACGAGGTGTCACAATTACAATATGCAGGTCAAGTTTCATAACTCTGTATTGGATTTTGACAAAGTTATGCCCCTTTTTAAGTCTTTAAATTTACATATAATCAATACTAGACAATATGTTGTGTCCGCTCTATAAATTCTATACTAATGGAAGGATTTTCTTCAAACTTTACTCAAATGTTCACTCCAATTGGGCGATGTGCAGAACCCATCTTACCCTTGTGCCAGCTGAAGGTCAAGGCCCATTGAAGGTCAAAAATTGACTTATAAAAAGTTTAGTATATTGGGAAAATGAAAGGTTATTGGTAACTGTTTCGAACATGATTTGATAATAAATATTTTTACCATTACCTGTACAATTAGTCTTTTTTTCACCAGAGATAATTTCTTTGTATTTGTGTCACTTAAGTTATTCCCTTAACCACCTTTCCAAGTTGTCTTCTGTCAAGGACATTGATGGGGGTATGAATCGCATTCAGCGATAGTTCTAGTTTTTCACTGTTTGTGGCCTAAAAAGGGTGGGGGTCGAAAAGCCGTCATTATACGTCTATATGAAGTAAAGGGTTAAGGTAACGGAGAGGTACATATAAGTGAGTTTTAAACAATGTATGAAGTAAATGTTTACCTTTTTTAAGGTAACAGAAAGGTAGATATATGTGAGTTTTTAACAATGTATTAAGAAAATGTTTAACGTTTTTTAAGGTAACGGAGAGGTAGACATAAGTGAGTTTTTAACAATGTGGGGAGATCTCATGCTGCATCCATCAGGCATCGGAAGTGTCAGTGTCGACATAACAGGATAAATTCTATTGTTCATCCCGAAATTGAATAAAATGATTAAAATAATTGATATAAACATTTCTTATTTTTTGTGAATTATTTCGATAAAAGGTGTTGCTATTTTTTGACATTGAAACTGTTGTTGTTGTATGAGGTTGTTGTTGTTTTTTTTATTATTATTATTAGACTTATTATTTCTCCCCAGCTTCATATCAACTTCTTGTATCAGTTTAGAAAATGATGATACTATCAGTTACCAGGCATAAATTCTGTATAACTCGTTTAGCAAACCTTTGATTGGCTGTTAGCCTAACATCCGCATGCTTTGGCTGCTGTTGCTTTATTTCGCTCAACCCTTTATGATTTTAACTTTAGCTTTGCTTCGTTTCATTTGACAGGGAGTGGTTTGGTAGACATCAGTGAGTTTCTTACCCAGTGGGAGGCACTTCAAACGGAGCCAACTAACGAATCTAACGTCAGCGTTGATCTGACTGGCTGAATATAAAGCACATGTGTTTTTGCTTTGCTTTTATTCGTGTTTGTACTTTGTAGATGCTTATGCGCAAATATATATTGATTTGTCACTGTTGCTTTTTGTTTTGTGCATCCTTTATGCATTGATCAGTTGGTATGCGATAAAATGCATACTTTTTGTTGTATTAAAATACCAAAATTTCAACCGATAACTTTTTGAAACAAAATCTTTGAAGTACATAGTTATAAATATAAAATAGTGAAAAAAGGAATCAATAAAGAAAGCTTCAAAACGGAAAAATTGAAGATGTTGCAGGCTTTATTTGATTGTTCATGTTCACGAACGTAGGAGCAGTAGTCCAGTGGTAGGACGCGCGCTTAGGGATCGAGAGGTCCCGGGTTCGAACCCCACTAGGGGCACTGCTAATTTCCTTGAGCAAGAAATTTACCTGCGATTGCTTCACTTCACCCAGGTGTAAATGGGTACCTGCGAGGGTGGTATAAATCCGTTGCGCCAAAGTGTCGGCTGCACTAAGCGGAGTTAAAAGACTCCCCAGGGAGATTGATAGAAAGATACCAGTAGCCCGATGACCAGGGGTAATAGCTGTAAAGTCGGTGAACGTGCGTAAGCATGAAACTTAGACTATAAAATGCAATTACTTTACTTACAGTGGTAATTGCAAACCACCTTCCACGCAACCAGCACCAATTTAAGTTGCTTTCAACACCGGCGTGATAATTGTAAAACATCCATAAATATGTGTTAAAGAACCTTCAGTGGGACGTTCTGGCAATTACATGAATAGTGACAAAATCAATAAAAGATATAAACCGATAACATTTAACAAAATCTTTAGAGTGCACTGTGCAAATTTAAAGTTTTAAACCTATAACCTTTTAAAACAAAATATCTAAAGAATACAATGTGATGCAATAGAGCGACACATTACGAAAGACCGGTAGGGCCATTTCAACTTCATGAATTCCCGATTTCATCTGTATGATTTCACGATTTCAACTTCATGAATTCCCGATTTCATCTTCATGAATTCACAATTCTAACTTCGTGAATTCACGTTTTCAACATACGGTTGTCACGAAATTCATGAAGCTGAAATCGTAAATTCCCAATTTCAACTTCAAGAGTTAAAGGTTTCAACTTTATCGTGAAGCTGAAATCGTGAATTCATGAAGTTGAAATTGTGAATTCATGAAGTTGAAATTGTGAATTCGTGAAGTTGAAATTGTGAATTCATGAAGTTGACATCGTAACTTCGTGAAGTTGAAATCGTGAATTCATGAAGTTGAAATCGTAAATTCATACAGATGAAATCGGGAATTCATGAAGTTGAAATGTCCCACCGATCTTTCGTATTACACTAGAAAAACACTGTAAAAATGCACTCACATGTATATATACGGGAATAAACGGACCCACTTTTATTCAGCATATACGGGATATGGGCATGTATGGCCCGTTTATTGATCATATACCGGATACAGGCGTGTATTAATCCATTTCGTTTTGATAAAATTGTTACAATATCGGTGTTTTGTGTTATATTTTTTTAATAATTTTACTATTTAGAGGATACGTAAATTTATATACTGTAAAACGTTAAAAAAATAAAGATCACCCGGAGAATAACATTTAGCCAACTAAAATACATCTATTCTATCTTAAAGCGGCATGCCTCATATTTATTTTAAGTTTTATGAACATTTTGCAACGTATTTAAAAGTAAATAATTGTGAACATATTGCAATCCTTCAACGTAAACTACCAAAAAGAGAGGACAAAATAAGTGAAAATAGCCCATACTGCGTTAGTAACGCAGTAGAAAAATAGTGATAATTACTGTAGTCATTAATCGCACACGAACACAAAGATACATCTCTGTCGCACATAACATATAAATCATTACTTGAATATTGAATTGTTTTACTTTTTTGTAAAATCTTAATTCGTTTTTTTTTAAATCCTATTTTTTTTAAAAAGAAATAGTTTGGCTATGCTTGAGGCATGCAACTTAAACACCATTTCATCTGTACTAGAATCAAATAAATCTGATATCATGGTAGACAGATAGAAGAATTACAAAACGGATTATTAGTCATGGCGTACATTTTTATAAAAGGTTATTATTTGCCTCTCTAAGAAATTTTACCCAAAATAGAAAAAAATATGGCTTTGCGAAAACGTTTTCGATTATTACTGATATTTCTTCCCCATTCCTTATGTTTACATTTCGTATTCCATTACCAATCCCTTCATAACTGTATCTTATATAGCCCCTCATAAAAATAATGTATAGTTTAACTAGAAACAATGACATTATTTTTCTTTCCTTAACCTATCATGTAATAAACGAAAATTTTCAACATTTGTCACTTCACTTGTTGAATAGTTTAATACAGCACTAAACTAGCATCGAATTTGGAACGTATATATTGTAAAGATTACCACGCCATCTTTATAAAGTTTTTTCTTAAGTTTAATGAAGATTATAAATGAATTAATCTCGTAAAATATTCTCGGTTGGCTACTTTTTTACAAAAGGAAAGACGCTCGAGTAGAACGACTAAATTCAAAGTTATAAAGGGGAACTACTCGTGAGAGCATAATGGGAAATCATTTACGCCAGAGAAGATATTGCCCGCCCACTGTTCGTGACAAGTGTTTTATGTCCTTATAGAGAAACAATTACATTGGTGTAGCTTCTTATATAGACACTGTAGGACTTGCCTGCACGTTTTTCTTGGAAATGAAAAATGTATGAATACATAAATGCAATAAGTATTTTTAAAAGGGTAAGGGCGGTAGATGTGTAGGTCCTTATACGAAGAAATGATCATATTATAACGAATAAAATCTCCTTTTGTCATGATTAATATTTTCCTGCTGAGTTATTTATAGTCATCATATCTATATTGATAGAATAAAATTTCATTTTTCATTTTTATTCTTATATCCTTTATTCTGGCATCTGTTACTTTAACAAAGTATTCTCCCTGTTATGTATAAAACGCTGGTGACTTTTACATCGCACTGACACTGCAAAGAACATATGGTGGTTTTCCAACAATTTTACTGGTGGGTAAAGACGTCAGGTGCCGCATCGTGCATTCTTTTAGACAAAAGTGGGTTGAATCTGAAATATACCACCGACAATGTGTTTGCTAGTCGGATTGCTTTCTCGCAATAAAGAATCGAAAGTTTTGGCGAGAACTAAACCCACGACGGTGAGGGTTGAGTGATTTAAAGTCAGCCACCCTTACCACTAGGCCACGAAGGCTACCTTGGTAATATGTCAGGATGAATTGTATCCTTATGGAATGTAGAAAACCTTAGATTAAACAATTTCAATAAGTTGTCGTCTTTAACTGTTGTAATAAACAAAAAGCCCATTAATTTATAATGCTTGAGTTCTCCACAAAACAGCCGGTTTGTTTCTTTCGGTTCTATTTGCTAGGTTCGTAAACACTCAAAATGATTTATATTTAGGTAATATATCATATTGAGGCTAATAAAAAGCTGTGGGATTTTGTTTGCATTAATGTTTGTTTCATAATGCGACCAGTTTTTTCTCCTTCTCTTCATTTTAGCGTTTTTGTTTCGGTTCTTATATTTTTCAATTTTGTACTTTAATCATGCGACCATCTTTGTTTTTACGTGTTTTTCATAAATATGATTAAAAGCGGGAACATTTTTACACAAATTAGGTGGAGGTACTCAAAAGCATGTTGCATTTCTAAAAGGTAAATGTTTAGTTTTGCTTAATTGCGAGTAATTTTGTAATTATTGTACTTCCTGGATTAACCAGTACTCGTGCAATATAATGATGTTTTCCACAATAGAGCTCTTATCCGTGATGCCTGGGTACAGGTCAGATCTTATATTTGTGAACAGCTATACCTTATTATACCTTATACCTTATAATACAGGTATTACCCGTATATAAGAATGACAAAATATCACCACTAGAACAAAAGATGTTGTCTAACACAAATTTTATTTTAAATTCATAAAGTATATAGACAATGTTATATCATAAACATTCAAAAATTAACTCTTAAACAATACAATATGTTGTAAACATATCCTTATTGTTTAACTTAGCATTATAAAACAAATGTCTAGATATGGTTACCTCCCTTGACATAAATGACTAAATATACATGTATAAGTTTTTTCTAAATTTGTTTTTCATATTTTCAAACATTTGAACTGTTCAAGAATATTCAAATCTGAAAATGAAGTATTCTTGTAAGATCGAATATGTGTTAAAGAATACATGTACATGTAACTATGTAGATATGCTGTATATATCAGATAGTTTAATTTAAAATCTTTTCATTAACTCTTGAAAAAAAGCAAACAAAAAACACTTAAATCTATCTAGAACACATTTTATCATGTAAACATCATGACACTTTGAAAACTGGAGTTATTTTTACAAGTATAAATTATTTTAAGAGAAAGGGTAAGATTTATAATTATATACATACATTGTATATACAAAATAAAACAAGAGTTTTATAAAATATACAGTGCTCAAGACCAAAGTATAATTATGGCAATTATACGAACAACTTGATCTTGAACATGTATTTGACCCCTAAGTACTTTGCTAGGCTAGGATATCACGCGAACAGTCAAATACAAGTTTCAACAAGTTAAAATTTTCTTATAACAATCCTTTAATATATACCTCCATGAATCTAAAATATAATAATTAAACAATAATATTGATAATTGAATCCCACTCGTATCCAGATCACAAAATTTTATAAGGATTTTTTTGATCAATTATTTGTGCAGTAACAATCAAAATTAAATTTATTTTATATAAAAATTTACTGATAAATTAAAAAATAAAAATAAATTTTTTCAAACAACATACACAGAAATATAAATCATAAGCATAGTAAATGAATCTACATTTATCAAATGAGTTTTAACTAAAGTATAGACATTGATAATGAAAATAAAATAATATGCATTGAGCTACATTTTTCAAGAATAACAACTCTATAACAAGACATATCGATGCTCCCCGAGCCTTCACATTTGCCAATGTACTTCATTGCACATCGCTTGATACAAATGAAAATACCTCAGACTCAGCCAGAGTCCCATGCAAAATTCATTTAAACTGCTTATTACTCGTCTAGTAGAATTGTACTCAACAACGTATATTACATAATCATGTGTTATAAAGGGTAATTGTTTTAAGACAAAGTAAATTAAAATTATTATTCACATACAATGCGCTACTTCTCACTGGTAACTTTCTGATGTTTCAATCAAATTTATTCAATACTTGATAATAAGATAATTACAAAATTACCCTAGGCAGTAATTTGGTTCTTAAACAATTCCCGTCTTTGCACCAGTCATTATCAAATGCACTTACACTTTATCACTTACTTATCTGAAATAGTCAAGTTAAAATTACTATTCATGTTATATAATTACCAAGGTATTCTTTGGCAGGAGTATGACAGACGGAAACACGGCGACAAATTGCCCAACGTTCGGAGAGCAAACACATGACGTGACATTTGACGTCAAGATAATGTTTCACCATTCATTCTTCTGTATTTGTTTTTTTTTTGTTCCCTGAGTCTATACATTTGACAACTAAAATGAAACTTACAACTACTCAAAAATGAACCGATAACTCATACATATCAAGTACCTAGTTATATACATCTAAATATATATACATAAGAAATAAAAAAAATCATTCAATTTGACTAGAGCATGAAAAACAAAAACAATTAAAGAGAATCTTTCAATACAATTCTGTATGATCAAATAAATGTTTATAACATTTTATAGACAAATTATGGTGGCATACTTCTGCTACCAGATAACCATATAACTAACTAATTAATTAAGAGGTTAACTAGTTACGTAACTAGTTAACCTCTTAATTAACTAGTTTGTTATCAGGTTAACTAGTTACGTAACTAGTTAACCTCTTAATTAACTAGTTAGATATCAGGTTAACTAGTTACGTAACTAGTTAACCTCTTAATTAACTAGTTAGGTATCAGGTTAACTAGTTACGTAACTAGTTAACCTCTTAATTAACTAGTTAGTTATCAGGTTAACTAGTTACGTAACTAGTTAACCTCTTAATTAACTAGTTAGGTATCAGGTTATCTGGTGGCATAAATATGCCACCATAACAAATATATCAATGTGGAGTAAATAAAAAATAGTAATATATTTAGGAAATAATTTTTATGATCAATTGTTCAAATTTATTTTTTGCTGCAGTGAAACCTATTTTTTGTAGTTTTACTGGTTCATTTGTCGAATTTAGCCAATACAAAAACTTAAAAGGGGGTGTCTTTCAAATAGTAAGGTCAAAAATGAGAAAATGTATATAATAAACTGAAAATAATTTTTTTAGCTATAAATTCGGGAATTTAATTCATCTTCTGGTATGAACATAATCATATTTCACACAAGGCTTGAATATCCTCTATGCATTATTTTGAATTTATTTAGGACAATATAGGCTCTGAATAGTGAACAACAAATTGAGAACACAGTCAAATTTAGATTAAAATAGTGACTCCTATATATAATCATATACATTTTGAAACGTAAACATTCCAAAATAATTTTGATAAAAGAAAATGTAAATGTTAAATAAAACTTGGATGCACTTTCTGTAAAAGTCCACAGTTGCTCACTTAATAAAAAGTTTCTACTATATCCAAAAATAAACACGAAACTATTATCAAAATAAAACTAAGATCCAAAGTGTTTATGTGACAGGCTTACTTCAAAGATATTTATCTATGTACATATAACTTTTGTCAGAATTAACAACAATTTTAATAACAATTCATTTTCGTCTTACAATTTTCATTTCGTTACAGCAACGGTTTATGTGAATTCTTTGATAATAAATTAATTGGCACTAAATGTATTGTTTGTTTTTTTTTTATATAAAGGGAAATAATTAATTAAAAATAATCTTAAAGCAGACGAAATAAATTTCAATGGATCCGGATGCAAACCAACAAAATGTAGTGCCCTACGAATTATTATGATTTTGTAGTAAATAAATGATTAAGTTTTAAATACATACATTCCTATGTTAAAGGCGTAATTATCACTCAAATACAATGTTTTTCTAAAGTAATAACAGTTATTTATAAATAAAGGGACTTAAGAGATTCTTAAATATTTCACAGCGGTCATCATATTTGATATCTTTATTTTTGTATAACATATTGTTATAGAAAACAGGTAAAATTCATTTTTGATGATCAATGTATGAGTCTTTTTTATATATGTTTCCATAAAGCTAGGAAACATAAGCACAATGTCCTGGTGATGTAACGTCTTTTCATAACTATCCTCCGTTCCTTTTTCTGGTAAGGAGTAATGTCAATATATTGAACTCTCGTATATTTACATTCCCCATTGTCATTGAACATTCACACTTGCTTCTTTTCTGAAAAATAAATACAAATTAAACGACTTTCATTTAATCATAATAGCAAATTTGGTCATATGGTGGCAGTGATTTTTCCATTTTGGGATCGAGCGGTATCCCAGACAAGATATACAAACCTTTCTAACCCAGCAGACATCAGATTAGATCCACCGACCTTCCGTAAGTCAGCGGGTTTAATGGAGATCTACCGACCTTAAAAACGTCAGCGGAAATTAAAGGAGATCTACCAACATTCCATAAGTCAGCGGGTATTAAAGCAGATTCACCGGTCTTCCGTAAGCCAGCGGTCATAACGGTAGATCCACCGACCTTCCGTGAACCAGTGGTCCTAAAGGTAGATCCACCGACCTTTCGTAAGCCAGCGGTTATTAAAGTGGATCCACCGACCTTCCGTAAGCCAGCGGTCATAACAGTAGATCACCGGTCTTCCGTGAACCAGCGGACATTAAAGTAGTTCCATCGACATTCAGTAAGCCAGCAGATATTAAAGTAAGTCCATCCGCAAGGTTTCGGACATAAAAGTAGATCCTTTTACCTTCCGCAATAAAGTTATACCTTTTACCTACCGTAAACTATGGAACGTCTTATGCTATCAATGTTTTTTCTATCTTGTGAAATAATGATATTATTTTGTCATTTAAGCATATTAACATGTGCAATTTACATCATATCTTTTCTAAAGACAATGCTGACTTGTTCAAACAGCATGTTAACTTGTCAAATAATCATTATGACATGTACAGACAACATGTTAACTTGTCAAAGTATCATGATGACTTGTGCAAACGACATGTTTACTTGTCAAAATATCATGATGACTTGTGCAAACGACATGTTAACTTGTCAAAATTTCACGATGACATGTGCAAACGACATGTTAACTTGTCGAATTATCGTGATGACATGCTCATAATACCTAAACAAGATAACATGTGTTTTGCACAAGTCATCAAGATTTTTTGACAAATTAACATGTTGTCTGCACAAGTCATCATGATAATTTGACAAGTTAACATGGCATTTGCACCGTCATCATGATACATTGACAAGTTAAAATTGAGTTTGCACAAGTCATCACGATACCTTGACAAGTTAACATGCTGTTTGCACATGTCATCATGAAATTTTGACAAGTTAACATGTTGCTTTCACAAATCACCATGATACTTGGACAAGTTAGCATATTGTTTGCACATGTTATCACGATGATTTGACAAGTAAACATACTGTTTGCACATGTCATCATGAAATTTTGACAAATTAACATGGCATTTGCACAAGTCATCACTGTACTTGGACAAGTTAACATGTCGTTTGCACAAGTCATCATTATACTTCGACAAGTTAACATGCTGTTTGCACATGTCATCATGGAATTCTGACATGTTAGCATGGCATTTGCACAAGTTATCATAATACTTTGACAAGTTAACAGTACGTTTTGACATGTTAGCATGATACAAGATAACATGTCATTTGCACAAGTCATCACGATTCTTTGACAAGTTTACATGTTGTCTTCACAAGTCATCATGGTAATTTGACATGTTAACATGCTGTTTGCACAAGTTATCATGATACTTTGACAAGTTAACATGCTGTTTTCACATGTCATCACGATAATTCGACAAGTTAACATGTCGTTTGCACAAGTCATCATTATACTTTGACAAGTTAACATAGCATTTGCACAAGTCATCATGACACTTTGACAAGATAACATGTTGTTTTCACATGTCATCACGATAGTTTGACAAGTTAACATGTCGTTTGCGCAAGTCATCATTATATTTTGACAAGTTAGCATCTTGTTTGCACAAGTCTTCACGATACTTTGACAAGTTAATATGCTGTCTTCACATGTGATCATGATAATTAGACAAGTTAACATGCTGTTGGAACTGTTCAGCATGGTCCTTTGACAAGACATGATGTAAATTGCACATGTTAACATGCTTAAACGACAAAATAATATCATCTTTTCACAAGATAACAAAAACATTGATTTCATAAGACAGTCACGGCGTTCCATAGTAAACCATCTTTATTGATTATTAGACAATGTAGACGTCAATATATCGAATATGTAATTTAAAGCAGAACTCTTGAAATATATGATACAGTTTCTGACTTTGTATATTATTTCTCTACTTTTCTTTGCCAAAAATATACATATTTTTGTTTTAATTTTTTTTAACTGTACTATTTATATGTGTATGAGTGACATTGTATTTTAAATCACCATCGATGATAACAATGCAACATTTTGTCTTAAACTCAAATTATTTTTAACGGAATTTGCAAAATTTCTTTATTTCAACATTTTTGGGTTTTATAAATATTATACGAATAAAAACATCTACAAAAAACACAAAACAAAAACAAACAAGAATACACATTTTAGAATGCAATAGGACTCGGGGAAAGGTTGAATCAGAGTTCAACAAATATAGCCATAATTATAGGAATCGTATAAGTTCCCTTTGCATATGTTTTATAGAAGCTACCTTCATTATTATATTTAACTTTCTTTATTCCATAATAACTGAGTAGCGAATCATAATAATCATTTAAAAGTCTAAATAATATATTATTACCTTTGTTTAGCAAGGAACTTTTGTAGAGATTCCATCTGTTGGTTTATCTAATACGCGTTGTCACATGACATTCATCATCACGTCTGATTTAAGACCGCTGAAAAAAGAAATAAAACCGGAGGGGATTAACGATGAAGGACTGTGCACATCTTTGAACAAGAATAACAAAATTATTGTCCAACTTCTACGGTATGACCATCCTTATGCATTACCTCCACTTTGAAGAATAAAGTACTGTAAAATTCATCTGAAATGATTTTTGAATCCCTTCACAATAATTTAAGGGAAGACATTACTTAAGGGGTGATATAGATTATTCAAAGGTTCCACATTTCTGAAAAATGGCCCAAATGTAATACTAAGGCTTAAGTTCAGAAAAGTGACCATAACTAGTTTACAGTAAGGTAATTTTGTTTTTTAAATTTTGCATGCAGGTGTCTTTTAATGAATATAAGTGACCTATGTTGTCAATGTTACAGTTCCTTTAATGGCCCAATTAGGGCTGTCATAACTTATAAAGTTTGGAAGAATATAAAAGTAAAGTTGCGCTGCCTGTGTGTCCAATTGAAATAAAATACTCCCTCAAGAGCTAACATATCAATTATATCAATTTTCTTAATGACAACCATATGCATTGTCTCGTAATTTGAACAACGGAAAAATAGACATTTAACTTTGCGGAAATAAGAAAAAATAAAACTTGCAAGTATATCTCAAATTTCAATTAATTAACACTGCAAGTATATTCAGTGTTGTTTGCTGTCCAATAGGATAACAGTGTTTTAAATTAACACATTTACTTTGAGTAAATCGGCTAACTATTTATCAGTCTAGTAAATAAACTTAAACAAATCAAAGACCTAATTAGCTACGCTGTTCTTGACCATTTCAATTTTGTAAGTGTTTACTAAAAGCAATAACCCATACTTAAGATTCAATTAACTTTTACATAAATACTGCATAAATAGTCAATATGTTTTTTAAACATATACATGTAACTATACCTTTGTGAGCGGTGGGTGGGGTGGGCTTTTTGAAGGTGTGGTTTAAAGTACAAGTTCTTACGTAAATTATACATGTGTCCTAAATTATCTATGTTTACTTAATGGTTTAATAAAATTTAATAATCTGTCTTACATTCAGGATCCAAACAAATTATGAAAAAATAATTAAAGTGCAATTCTTCAGTATAAATGTTAAAATTCATACATGCATTCATTTTAACATTTCGGAATGTTATTAACTTTAAAGAAATATATTTCAATATTTAAATATATAATAAAAATATCATAACCTAATTACTATAAAATCTCTTACCTGTGAAATATTTCCATATCTTTATCCATTAAGTTTCGTAAAAATATTTCAGTGAATATTTTCTAACCTTTAAATCAGTTTATTTATAAACAACTGTCAGATAGATTTGCTTAAATACTAAACGACCGAGCATTAAAGTTAAGTCTCACCAATCGCCATAGCGTACGTATTTTAAGTTTCCATTTTCATTTATTTATTTAAGTTTTGAAGTGATTTCTTCAGGTTTTTTTAACAATACTCTTTCTTGTTTATTCTGTACTTGGTTTCCTTGTTTCAAAATCAAACCATTCGCTGTCTAGTATCACATGAAATGTTTGTGATCTCCGAATATGTTTTTTAACACGTTTATATGCTGTTTTCGGTTTAATCTTGTGCATCCCTACTTCAACTGACTGCGGCAGAATTACCAGCACGGTAATAAAGTTTTGCAAACTTCTTGCAGACATTTTTATACGTCTCAAATCCACTTTTTCAATATTCAACATGTCACGTGAGAGTAACAATGATCTTTTATCTAGATTGATGCTCCACAACGTAACATTAACTAATGATGGTATTGTTATATTTAATTGTAGCCTCACAGGTAACATACGCAAATCTAACTTTGATAAAGCTGAATGTTGAGACAAGTCCAAGTTCCATCTCTGACATTCATCGTAGCCATGTTCTTTACATTCTAACCACATCAATGTTAACTCTTTCATTGAGTTTTGACCGGAGATAAAATTGAAAAATGTTTCCAGTTTTTTGTGAGATAACTTGAAGAATTGAATATCTAAATATTGTAAGTTTTGTAATCGCGCCAAATTTCCCCCCAGATTTTCTTCATCATTTGTACATGTACCCGAAAACATATATATGTTCTGTAAACAAGGAAACAAAATCTCAGCTATCTCCTCTTCATAACCACTATAGTTAAGTTTTTGTATATGACTGAGATCTGTGAGAGAAAATAATTCTATAATTTCACATAAACTGTTGGGATTACGCCATGTGTTTATATAAAGTGATTTTATGTTGGTTTTATTTTGTTTTAACAAACGTTGTAACTGCTTACTGTGCACTGTGTACTCGTCTATGAAGAAATCTTGTAAACATAATTGAATATTTTCACTTTCAGGCATTTCCTGTAAACACGACATGATCATTTTATGTATTATATACAATGGATGATATGACAAGTACTCGTCACCTGTCCTATCTCTATAGTCGCGTGTTATCTCGTCTTCATTTATCACAGACATCAAATCATTTAATATTGCACAGATCAGGTCAGCATTCATTTTACTTATGAACTCACAAATGTTTGACATGTCCAGAATGTCTTGAACATTTCTACATTTTCCTAAAACAATTTCCTGAGCGTCACTGTGTGAACTTATAAACATGGCGGCAAAGAATTCCTGAACTGTTTTGTGGCAAAATGACACTTTAGAAATTTCTTTTATTAGCGTCTTAGTTTTACTTTCCGACAATATTCCTGAGAAAAAGCTTATTTTCATGTCGTCTGCTTTGAGATATGTTTTAGCAACCGATCCGTCAAACTCCAGTGCGTTTTCTCTTGTTTCATTAAATAATGTTTGATAAGCTAGTTCTGATAATGATTTTATAAGAGAGTAAAAGTTTTTTATAAAGTTGTGATTTCTGAAATATTCTGGTATATCGCAGACAGAAGTATCACATGATGGTTGAATTTCCGGGTGTTCCTTTGCTGTTCTTGATAAAAGAAATTCAATGATTTTGGTGTAAAGATCACATTTCGAGTTTCCTATGGGAATTCTGTTGCACCAAAGACAAGTGATAAACATGAGGAGGAGTGGAATCCCTTGCATGTGCTGAAGGCCACAGTCACGGATCACTTTATTTAAGTCCTCTGTTTTACTCGTCAATTCATCACCATCAGGAACACCAGTCATTTTACTTATAGCATTTTTCTCAAGTTGCCACATAGAATCTTCACTAAGTTGAACCAACTCTATTTTCTTGTTTACCTGACTTGTTTTTAGATTTGAAACTCCAAGTTTCCATGGACGCGAAGTCGTTAAGATAACACACTTTTTACGTACGTACCGATGTGGGATTTTTTCGTTTAGTCTAGAACAACCATTTTCAGGGTGAGTCCATTCATCGAGACCGTCTAATATAATCAAGCACTTCTCCTTACGTAAAATTTCTTCTAGTGATACTGACGTACGAAGTTGTTTTATAATTTGTTGCTCAATCATTTTGTCTATGCTACAGATATCAGAACAATCTCTTAATAAGACCAAAAATAAGAACTCAATGTCAGATAAAGCTTTTAACTCCTTATCTTTAAAACATTTGTAGTTTTTGTCTTTATGATGAGCCTGGCACCACGTGATTGCAAGGTATTTTGAGAAAGCAGATTTTCCAAAACCTGCGTCTGCTGATAAATAAATTTCTTGCTGAATACCGCTTCCAACCGAAAACAGGTCCCTTAAAGAATTGACTGGCGTTTTCTCCTCTACCTCACTTGAAGGAGACTTCTGTTTAATAGCGACTATATCTGGCATCACGTAGAACCCAGCTAGAGGTGTCTCTACGTCTTCAAGGAGCGGTGAGAGAGGTATCGAACTACACCTGTTTCTGTAGAACTTAATGAGGTCGCCTTGAAGTTCTGTAAAAAGAGGATATATATCTTGATTGACATTCAATAACAGATTGTTTGATTAATATTAAGCTACTTACTGTGAATATTGAATTATGGTTATTACAAACAAAAAAATGTAGTATAATTTACAAATGAATTGAATAGTTCAATGATTTGGCATTTAATGTAATACATGTGAAAGATAAGTAAAAAATAATAACACATATCGATAATTGTGATACCGGAATATGTATATTATTGACTTTATGATGTTTAATTACATGATGCTACAGAAAGACAAAAACAAAACAAACAAATGTCATTCTTAGCGGTCAGTTTCATTATATTAAACGAAAATCATCATTAATAAAAAACAAAGACCCTCTTATAATGTATCAGTTTTTAAATAGAGAAAATACGAACCCATATAGAGCGTCTTAAACGGAAAGTTTGAAAATTTTGCATGCTCTGTTTGATTCAGTCTGTTCATGGACGGCATTGAAAAGAAACCGTCCACACCCCTTAGAACCGGTTAAGTTGTAAACGACATTTGACAGGAACTGGTAAATATTTTTAATTCAGAAACATCCGTAGAAATAAACTCGTACATAACCATTTGATACAGCACATTGAGGAATTAATTATTTGCGGAGCTCAATATCGTTACTAACTTAAATCATAACGTACTTTGTTATGAGCCATAGGGACCGGCACTGTGTTGGGATAGTGTTAAAAAGTAATTTTAGAAAAAAGTATATAGTTTATATGTAATATATAGTCTATATATTATATATAAACTATATTGTTTCTTCTAGAATTACTTTTTACACTATCCAATCACTGTACCGCGTCCCTTTGCTAAGAGCAATATTCTAAAAGTTATGTTATATCATATTATCTAGCAATATTGACCACAAACATATTAATATTCAGTGATTGTTATTCAAATATTGTCGGTTTTTGAAGTTTAACAGTCCAGTATATCACAAATGCAGTGAATTGTTTTTATGTACTTGTATATAGTTACAAGCTCAGCGCTCTTTGTGTTCAATATTATAATACTATATAGTAGATAAAATCGAGTTGTCGTCTGCTAGCATTTCGTGTTGAGAAAAAAAGAGAAATCTTATAAACATTTGTATTTTAAAAAACAGTCCTTTCAATAAAATGCCTTACAGTATGTAATAAAAACCTGAAAGTAAAAATCAAAAGTTTTAAGGACGTGTCTCTACATTGCATGGTGAATGAGCAGTAGGCAACTGAAAAAAACATAAATCTATATATGGAACTTAAAAGATTTTGACGTGTGTCAACTGTAAAAGTTTATAGACCGGAATGTCATATTTCTCAGGTTATCTCATTTTATTGGACATTATTATTATGTTTTAATACCTATATCTATTGGAGCATTTTTGTCAATTAAAATTTCATCGATTTTTCAATGTTTCATAATATTCTTGATTATGTAACTCGTAGTGTAAAGACAGAGTCTTAAACAGTTAAAATACAGATGCACACTCAATGTAATACTTAGACGCTTATTTGCGTGTATAAATGGATGACAACTTATACAATAAAGTTACATGAAGTACGTATTTAGTAATGTTCATCAAATATTAGTATCTTACACCGGCTTCCGGTTCGAACCAGAATTTCTAGCTTGAAGGTGACAGTTTACGGACGTAACGAGAGCTCCATATTTCCGTGTATGCCGATAGCCAGTGTTTGATTCTTTTTCTTGCATATCAAACATGAATCATATTTCGGAAAAAAATTACGAAAACTAATATTTTCATCTGCACTTTTTTCTTATAGTAGCTGACGGAAAAAGGACATTATCCTATGAACAAAATTCATTTATAAAAGCCGCGCTGGAATGACGTCATTTAAACCTTACACGTTAAGTGTAAGACAGGTTTTTCTAACATCTGTGTAAACAGTAGATAAATCCTATTCGATATGGGAGAAATCACGTTCAACAATTTTATTATCAATTATGATATCTTATTTCCAATAGCATTTAAGAATTGCAATGCTATAACGTTAAACAAATTATTCTGTATACAAGTAAATGCGATCCTGCAATAATAAAATTGGTCGGAAAAATATGCATAAAATGCAAAAAAATGAGTGAAAAGTATTGTTTCTGTTGGATTGTTTTCATATTTTACTTAATTATATACTTTTGAAAGATTTTATAGTAAAGTAATTATGTAAAATTTATAGTTTAAAATATGACAACAACCTGAATAATTTAGTTACATGTATGCGAAATACTTACTTATTTGGTTACATGGTGTTATTACATGCTTTCAGTGGACAATAAAAATATATTTTGATAATTTCACAGTGAAGTTATTAAAGAAATTTTCACAGATACCGGACTAAAACTGAATGTGGATTTAAAGAATGGATCTTAAATAAGTTGTTCAAAATATCATCAGAAATCACTATGTTTTTAAGTTAAATGTGCTTGAAACACACAAATATCTGAACATATCATTTGTTTCTAAAAAGAAAAAAAAATGTAAAATCTTTTAGACTTATTTTGACCAATAAAAATGTGACTTAATGATTTGATGACATCATGAATTCATGATAGTATTTCTTTTAGCAGCAAATCAGTAAAGATAACTTAAAGGACATTTTTCTGTCATGTTTTCTTTAAAACATATCTTAATTAATAGATTGGGAATTCTATTTCAACTACAAAATTCAAACAGCTGTAAATATCTGTTATTTCTAATATTTCAAAAAAAAAACAATGAAAAACTAAAGGGCATTGTTTAAAAAACATAATTTTATAATCCCTATTTTAGAGCAACACAAATCATAGATCCAGAACATCGAGCATATTTAAAAAACAATGAAAAAATTTTTCTTGTTTAAAAGGACTTTTAAAGAAATTAAAATTAAATGTAAAAAATTTCATTCATGGGTGCAATCCGCGTACGGTGGCACAAGGGACTGTGTGTGGCCACGAATAGTATGTGGGGGCCACTTTACTGAGTGTGGAAAGAGTTACAAAGTCGCCAGGGGATGCTTTGTGCCCGAGATAAATAACCAAATCAAATATAATTGGGATAAGGGTCAGACACCTCAATTTTTCGGGAAAGGGGGATAAATTTAAAGAAGTGTGAGGAAAAGTTATAATCGGTGAGATAAGGATTTTGAATTGATTTCGTCCCATATACATTTAAGACAGACAGACAGACATACAGACATATACTTTTATTTACAATCAGGTTCTACAGTACATATACATGAGAACAACATGATTTAATCATTTGGACAAAAATAGAATATATATACATATGGCAGTTTGCATGCAGATTATGGTATGAATATAAATTGTGGAAAAGGTATTTACTAAAATGAAATTATTATTATTTTATCAACAAAGGGGACAGTTTAAAATTATATACTTATATTTGATGGTCATCAAATCCTAAATTGTACAATCACTTTAGCGTTTATACAGCAATTTACGTAGTACACATTCACAAGTGTGGCACTGAAAAGGTCAGTAGGTGGGTGGGTGTTTACGGTTCAGTAATTGGAGATCTCGTGCGACTTGTGGATGTGTACACGTGGGTTTATATAGATATGAAATACAGTTCATAAATAAAGAAACAAATGGATTAACACATGAGTTGAAAAAGTAATAACATATGTATTCAATCGATTGACTGGGTAAGTTATTTCTTAACATTGTTTTTTTTTTTCTTTTTTTTTCAATTTTGGAAACCGTTGCTTTATGTTTGTTCAATAATTGCACCCGGTTACATTACTGTAAAATATAGTAAACAAAAGCAAACAAAATATAAGCATTACAGGTAACATCAGAATTATAGGAAAATAAAGTAAACAAAAGTCAACAAAATGTAAGCATCTGACAGGTTAAACAATGAAATATTCCTCATAAAAAGTAAAGTAAACAAATTTGGCATATTGAAAGAAAGCTATAATTGTATTTTTTGTATCTAGGCTATATCTCATATAAAATGAACAGGAATCATTTATTGAAAAATGACATAATACGTTTAGAGAAATAAGCAACATTTTTTAGTAAAGAGAATGAAGTTGATTGCATCAGTTCTTTGAATTTGAGTGTGTTCGGTCTATTGTAATATTTACTTGGAATTAGTCTTCTTCTACGAAGACAAAAGAATGGGCATTTTAATATATAGTGAAGTTTATCAGCAATATCATTTTGATTACATAAAGTGCATTTCCTTTGATCATGTTCTACAAAAGACTGGCGCCATCTACCAGTTTCGACTGATAACCAGTAGTTGCCAGTTCAAAAATGAAAAAAAATAATACGTTGGTTATATGGCAAAAGTTTTAGGTAAGGTTCGAAAATTGGTGCATCTTTAAATATCATATAATTTCTTCCTTTAGATGAATTCCTTAGTAAACCAGACCATGTTTGATAAAACTGATCTATTAGGCATCTGTTAACTTTCTTGTGAATATTACGATTTTCTATTAGATTTTGATTTAACCAAAAATAGGTATCACTAGTATTATCGAGTATATTCTGTACATGACGAATCAATTTAAAATTTAACGCAGATCTATACATATAGTTATAACATAGTCTAGATATCTTATTTTCATGTGAAGTACAAAGTTTAGACCAAAGCTGATTATTCTGGTTTTGATTATTATCTCTAGGGGATAACGACCTAGTTCACCATATAACATATATACAGGTGTACTTTTTTCTGCAATGAGTTATTTTTCGGAGAAAATCGGTATGTATTTTTTCTAGAATGTCGAGGTTTTCAAAACCCCAAACTTCACCATTGCATGTAAGAATAGGTAAAATTGTTTGTTCGAAAAGCTTAAGTTGAAGGTCAATACGTAAGTCTAGATTGAATAATCTACTATATAAAAGATGCATAGCTTTTATTTGCTTGTGAGGCAAGCGATTTTTCTAGCACTAAGAAAACTAACCGAGGACGAAAATAACCACTCCCAATATATTTATACTCTTTAACAATTTCAAGGGGTTTTGCCAACCAAAGAATGAAGTGAAAATTTTTTCGGGTTTATTCGTGCCAAAAACCATGACCTTTGACATTTACTCATATTTATTTCAAGTTTCCATTTTTACAATAGTTAGAAAATTCATTAAGTGTTTGATTGGAATGATATTTTGTCCTCGCTAACAAAAATGGTGTCATCTGCATAAAACAATACAAAAAGTTTTAAATACACTCCAAAATCATTACTATGGTAATGCAAGGTTATTCCTGGGTTATTGTGCTCTAGATAACTTTCAAGATCGTTTAAATATATAGAGAAAGATTTTCTCCTTGTCTTACTCCGCTTAAACTAGAGAAAAAAGGAGCAATAACATAAGAAGAGGACACACATGATTTTATATCTGCGTACATGCGTATTACTTGAAGTATTTTCCCATTTATACCTGTTTTAATCAGCTTATACCATAGGCCCGTGAGCCAAACTTTATCAAAAGCAGACGAAAAATCAATATATGATACAAAACGTTTTTTCTTCTGTAACCTTAGTTTATCTATCAAAAATTTAAGTGTAAATACATGGTCTGCTGTTGAGTACTTTGCTCGGAATCCAGCTTGATTTTCAGACAAAATATTATGAACGTTCAGAAAATACGTAATTCTGTTATTTAAAACAGAGGTAAAACGTTTTCCAAGACAACTTTATATTGTTATAGGCCGATAGTTTCCGGGGTCTAATGGGGAACCTTTCTTAAAAATGGGTTTTATTGTGCCGATAAGCCATGTTTCTGGGATGAGACTAGTGTCAAGGATTATATTAAAAAGATTATAATAAATGGGAGTCAGATGACTTTTTGAACTTTTAATATACTCATTATAAAAATAATCATATGGGGAGGCAGATTTTCCAGTATTCAGAGTTAGAATTGCTTTATTTATTTCACTTTCAGTAATAAGTCCGTTTAGTAATTCGTTAAAATAATATGTATCAAAATTTATTTCTGGTAGATTAGGCTGTTCAGTTTCTTGATGGGTGTTTAATGTTTTAAAATCTTCGTAAAATGTATTATTTTCGGGCAATGGACGAGACGACTGTTGCTAGTCACGATTTAAGATTTTCCAATAATCTCTCGGTTTATTCGTGCTTATTTCACGCAATTTTAGTTCATAACTAAATTTATGATTAATATAAGTATTCATTGTTTGCTTGTAAAACCTACTTGCTCTTGTTATTTTTTGTTTATACAAGTCATTTTCATTCAAATAATACTTCTTGCGGGCTGAATGGTATTTGCGCCGAGCCTTTTCGCAGTGAGGCTCAAACCAGGGTCTATTTATTTTATTATTGTTAGAATGTAATAAATTGCTATTATTTGACGGAGAATGGAATGTATCAAAAGCAGCCTCATCAAAGACACTAGATATTTTCTGACCAATACTATTGATGGCTGTCGGCGTCACATTGCTTGTATCGATTGTTGTCAAAATATTATTTATTCCAGTAATATTGTTTTCGTTAAGATTTTCAATATAATTAGGTTCGCGTGATTTTTGCCATTTTGGTGGTTTGAGAATAGTATGCTGATTATCATTATTTTGTAGTATCTCGCTGTTATAGTTTACAGCTTGTTTAGGCATAACATTACTATCTATAGAGAGTGCAAGTAGAGAGTGACCGTCAACAAAAGTGGGTCAACCTGTTTAATCTCAAAATGAAAAAGATACTCAAAAATGGAAATCGAACATAAAGCGTAGTCTATCACAGATGTATTTCTAAATGTAAAATTGCCTTCGGCCTTGTCTCGGCCAATTCTTCCATTAACAATAAGCATTTCATTATTTTTACACAAATCAAGTATTTTATTTCCTACAACATTTAACTTTTTATCCATAGAGACTCTACGTAATGGAACGTTTAACGTTGACAGCAGAGGGGCGTATTCATTTGGTTAAACAATCTGTCATCTAGATCTAACTGATTTGCAATAAAATCATCTAAAACAACATAATCGGGCTTATCAGCAGTATGCCCATTAAAATCTCCAATTAACATGAGTTTAATTTTTCTGGCGGCGTAAGATCATAACATGTTTCATGCAATATACACTGGTCTTTTACTGTGCTGGAATGTGTACGCGTAAAACTGACGTTTTCCGATATATTATTACTTGTTTCTTTTTCGAGAGAAATTGAGTTTTTGTCAACATGTTCACATGATAACTTAGTCGAAGTACTTGGAAGCTGGATACAGTTTTTACACACGTATGAAATATTGTTAACGGTATTTTTATGCCCCCACAAAGTGAGAGCATCTGGCGTTGCACTTGTCCGTCCGTCTGTCTGTCCGTCCGCACTCACAGGAGAGTAATTATGTGGCTAGAGGAACAATAGGTAACTGTTCTTTCTCTTTGATGTCATTCCGTAATGCTTTTATGTGGCTATTTTCTTTTGTGTGGCTTAAAAGAACAATAGAGAGAACAATAGAGTAGCCACATTATTACTCTCCTGTTAGAACGTCCGTCCGTCTGTCCGTCCATACGTCCCGAAATCTTGTGAACGCAACTTCTCTTAAACCGGATGGCAGATTTTGCTTAAACTTCCAGGGAAGAACAACCTTAATTTGTAGATGGTAGTTAAGGAAGGAGTTTTTGCTGTGACCAAATTTAAAGGAATTATAGCCCTTTGATGATTTTTTCACTATATACTATGTAGAAATTTTGTGAACGCAACTCCTCTTAAACCGGATGGCAGATTTTGCTTAATCTTCCAGAAGGAACGACCTTTTAAAATGTAAATGGTAGTAAAAGGAAGGATTTTTGCTGCGACCCAAATTTAAAGAAAAAGGCCCTTTGTTGTTTTTTTATTTTACCTATAGAAAATTTGTAAAGCAACTCCTCTTAAAACCCATTTTAGATTTTGCTTAAATTCCAGGGGGAAAAAAACCCTTAATGTGAAATGTAGAAAGGAAGGAAATTTTGTGGACCAATTTAAAGAATTTGGCCCTTTGATATTTTTTTTATATATATATGTAGAAAATTTGGAACGCAATTCTTTAACGGTGCAGATTTTGCTTTTTCCGGGATAAAAACCTTAAGTGAAATGGAAGTAAAGGAAGAAATTTTTTTTGCGCCTAAATTTAACAGAATTATGACCCTTTGTTGTATTTTTCACTTTATACCATATATATGTTGTCAGTGGGGGCATCCGTGTCCTTTGGACACAGTTCTAGTTATAATTGACACTTAAGTGGTCATTAGAAATAACATCACTGACGGTCTCAGGCGGAGATGAAACTATCCCGGGCCGGTACTAATCATTGCCGGTAACATTTGCAGGTTTGACGTAGGAATCTGCTGCAGTGTCAATTGAAATAGATGTAAATTGTGCTCTGTCTGTAGAAGATTGATTTTTTTCCTCTTCCAGGTACCGTACCTTGGTGAGGAAGATTCGCGGCTTCTAAAGTTGTCATATTGCCTTGAAGTAGTATGTTTAGCGGGCTGCTTCCCTCTGGGAGAGTTTAATTGGACAGCACTTATCTGAGTCTTCCTATTGTTAGTTTGTAGTGGATCTGAGCGTGCTATACTTTTGTTCGGGGATAATGTTTCTACAGTAGCGGGAACATTATCGCAGCTGAATGCAGCATCTTCGCTGCGGGTCTGGCGGGTTACATCGTGTATAATTTCGTTTTCAAGGTCCATTGCTTCAGACAAATCTGAATTATCGTCTGGTTGATCGAGTTGTTGACTGAACGCCTTTAGCATGGAGTTGTATTTAGATTTAAGTACGAGGGGGGGGGGGGGTGTTGTGACGACAGAGAAAGGGAAAGCGATAGAAATATTATATTCAGATGCTCGTTCATTGGTTACTTTTTCTCGCGATTCATATTGTGACAACAGGGAACGCGTTTTTTATGTTTGACTATGATACAAAAGAGAAAGAACACCAAAACACTCGGCAATCTGATCTGACAACATCCGGTCGATTTTTCATAGCAACGGACCGGTTCGTAAGACGGTTTAAAAAGTCCCTGACTGTTTTGAATACTAGTATCATTTTACTGTCAGAACATATAAGTCACAATTTAATAGAAAAATGTAAAATATTTATATTATTTACTTTTGTACTTGTTTTGACAAGCTGGCTAGACCATATAAACCCAAAATTATCATCATAATTAGTGATTTACCTAAGCCATTAATGTGAATTTAAACCAGAAAAAGACAGATGATGTACGGATTGTACGAAATGTAATGACTTTTTTTTTTGAGTAAAAAAATGAAAAAA